GAGCGCTTCAGCCCGGCTCCGCTAACCAGCCGCCAGCAGCTATGCTTTTCCATCTCTGTTCAGTTTCCCCCGAAGTCGTATGAGGAGGAAAAAGGCATAGGTACCACGCAGGTTAAAAAAAAAAAAAAAAAGTAATCTGAGGGGCCTTATTCTTGTGAGCTAGGGGCACTGTGGCTGCTTGGTGTGGCTAAAATTCAATCTCGCTTGCGGACCAGAACTTGAGCACCTGGTCTCCTGCTATTGATGCGATAGTGGGTGGCCCTGGCTGTCGCATGGCCTGCAGCCCGTCCCTGGGAGAGGACCCTGTGAGGGGCAAATATATCCCCTTCACCTTTTCTGCAGACTTCCAAGTTGCGTGGCTGGCTAGGCTGCCTCCCCATAGGCATTCCCTGCGTGGGCCAAGTGCACCTTCAAGACTGCTCATCTTGACACGGGAGCCATATCACCTCCATTGCCATTTCAGTTGCCCTTTCTTGTCATTGTTGCCGATTCAAATGTTTCGAGCGGGGAAGGCTCCAGGGTTCACGGTAGAGTCTTTGAGCTGTACAGTGCACATTGTGTTCTTTTTCTTTTAACAACTGAAAAGAGGGAACTGGACTGTTCTAGTTCAGTGCAATTTCACATGCGCTGTGCTGTAAGTAGCAGAAAGCATTAAAATTTCAAGAGACGATGACAGTGATGCTCCTGCTGCTCAGACCAGTGGTGAAATAAAGTGTAACACCTGTTAAGCCTAGATGGGAAACAGTTAAGGGAGCATATTACCTATAAAACTGCATGTGATATGAAGAAGATAAGTAGGAAGTGTTCTTTGGTTTGTCTGTGATTTTTGGGAGACCGGGTGGAGCTGTTCAATAGCAGATTCAGATCAAAGAAGAGTACCTGTGTCTTCATATGGTTCATAATTAAGATGTGGAACTCATTGCCGCAGGACATTGTAGATGCTAAAAATATATGTGGTGTCAAAAAAGGGCAAATTCAAGGAGCAATCCATTAAGGGATGCGATGTACCAAGAACACATCTGCTTTGGGAAGTCTGGCATGTGCAAACTGATCAAAGCTGGGACAGGAAAGTTATTTCCTAACTTATGTCTTCTTCGTGTTCTTATAGTCTTCCCTAGGCACCTTTCATGGCCACTCTCGGACATGGGATACCAGGCTATACTGGCCTTTGATATAAGCTAGTTTTACTATTGTGTTAGTACTGCTTAAGGATTAAAGGTTCATGTAGCTCTCCTTGAGGCACTCTTATGCTTGTCAGCTTATACCACTATCTACAGATGACTTAGATTTATCAGTCATTTAATTTTTTTTTACCAGGAGTATTAGTGACAAGCATCTGAGTTTGTACTACCTGCTATATATGTTAAATAGGCTCCTGCATGCATGTAGTAGTGGTTTTATTTTCACAGTAAGTACACAATGTTTTGCTTTTGTAGAACACAGGCGGGCATTTGCTTCATTAAATGCATGTTCCTCTTTTGAATTACACAACTTCAATTAAAATACTGACCTTCATTTAAAATACTGGCCTTCTAATGGATGATTCTAAAATGTTCTCTGACAGCAGAGTGGTGATCTAAGGACAGGACCACTGCATGCTTTGGAAGAAATTCTTATTGAAGATAAGAACTTTAATTTTTGAAGCCACGGGCTACAGATTGGGGTTTGAACTTTGGTTTGTACCGGACCTTCCCACAGAAACTTTCTGGGACTAGCCAATTTTACAGTGTCGTTAAGTATTCATAATGAACTAAACCATTGGATGACATAAACATACTTAAAATGCTGGATAAGACCTTGAATCTTCAGATTCAAAAGCATCTTCAGATGTTGGCATACTTTTCTAATAACTCTTGAAATTGATTTCCTTCTTGTGATTCAGGGGCCTGTTTTTTATTGACTAGTGATTTTAGCCAAGATATTTTCAAAAATATTTCGTTCACATTTCTGCCTTTGCAACATGACTAAAAAGCTGTTTGTTTAACAGCCCGCCTTTGAATTTATGCAGATTTCTGTCTTTCCACTTTTTTTTTCAGAGAAGAATTAATTACAGAAGATTATGGGTCAGGCTTCTAAAGGAATTAGATGCCTAACACCCCTTTGATTTCTCACTGAAAAAAATAGGATTTAGTTATCAGAATACTTCTACAAATCTGAGTTGGGTTTTTTTTTTTTTAATCTTGAGTGGACTATATTAAATATCTGTAAAATCCTTGTTCTCACCTATTTTTCTCATGTATAATGTTACCGTTGTCTTCCTTAAAAAGGCAGAAACAGATGACCAAACAGCCCTCGTTAGTAAGCCCAGGAATAACGGAGGAAACAGTGATCTGGCATCAGCTGGATTTAACATTATCAACTCTATCATAGGATCAGGCATTATAGGTAAGCATAGTTTTCTTCAGTATCCTGTTTTTAACCTTGTTTATACATGCGTGACTCTCCAGTTTGGAGAATACCACTGTCTCTTTACTTTCTTCTGATGTTCCTAAAGATTTTTCTTTACTATGCGAAAATGCAGAGGTGTTAGGTGAGATGATGTCTCAGTGATAAATACACTTCAGCATCTTATGCCATAATGATCAAAGAGAGCTGGTTGGGCAGGTGCTGAATGAGCTTTACACCTACGCAACACTTTGTTCACTGAAAATGATCTTTCTTAGCTTATTAAGCATGCTGGTCCAATTTGGGAGATTGAGATTATTTTTTTTAATCTGAATATTTCTTTGTTTTGGTTGTCAACACATAAGTATTTGGAAAGGTTCTTCTGTAATCTCTCGTTTTCTTATTTACAGGATTGCCATATTCAATGAAGGAAGCTGGTTTTCCACTAGGGGTACTACTTTTACTTGGGGTTGCCTATATCACAGGTACTCAAAACCCAGTTTCTATTGTAAAGTGAAAATTAGACTTGCAACGTGTAGCTGATCTTGAGCTTAATGATAGCTTAAATGGGTATATCTATGACAATAAAAATGACAAATTTTTTCCTTAGCTCAGTAATCCCTTGAGCAGATTAGTAGAAGTAGAGAATTATACTGAACAACATATAAAGCTGCTTTTTGTGTGTATTTTATTTTCGTAAGCCTAGTTTCTTAGGTTAGGTCAAGGTGACATTTGGAAGAATAGCTCTTACTTGTGCCTCATAATCACCTGGTTTAGTCCACTGTTTCTACCCTAATTAAGAGACTGATCCTCAAGTGGGTTGCGTATCACTTTTTTTAAATATACCACAGAACAAAAGCCTTTGGTTGTACTATGATTTCGAATATTTTATTTAATTATCATTCATTAAAAAAATAATGGGTTTACCTTCAAAAAGACACAAGTTTTAAAATTGCATAGTAAATAAACATAAGTAAATCCATTGGCATCAAAGGAGAATTTTTGTAACGACTGGATTCGAGTCTTAAAATGACAAACTTAAGTCAACGTGAATGGCTCAAATTCTGTTAACCCATATGCTGAGCATCAGTTGATGCTTTTCGTTACTTAAAATATCATTTAAGGATCTACATAAATGATGAAGGTTTGACTGGAGAGCAATATAACATAAGGAATATGTTCTTTACGAATGGAAATTTTTCTCTATAGCTGACAGCAAAATACACTAATGAAATAATATCATAAACATAGCTCAGAAATTTCAGTTACTTTTCTGTAGGAAAACTGATTTGTCCTTTGCATTTCTAAGTATTTTGAAGACTTTATAGCCATAGGCCCAGAACTTGTGGATTAAACTCAGTATTTTATTATGTTAAAGATGTGATTAAATATATCTTGCCCAAGCAAATTATAACAATGTTTACAACTTTTTGACTTGTAGCATTTAAAGTACAGGCTGAGTATGTAATATTAGCATTTATTTTCCATAGTTTTTACTAAAAAATTGGGAAATAGTTGTTATTTAGCATTTTTCACTGTATTTCATTTTGGGAGAAGTTTTTGAATGATATTGGGTGTAGTCCTAGATTGACAGAGGAATACAATTTTAGGTCATTTAGCTATAAATCTTTTTCAAGTTTTGTGGGTCTAAGATCCCTTGCTGTAAAGACTTAATGTTTGTACAAGATCAGCTCAGTATGCAACCTAATTAATAAGGAACAATTCTGTATTTCTGTTTTTGTCTGCTCCCAATTATTGTGTAAGAATTGCATATGCTCATGGAAATCTCTGGATTGGCTTTCACATTAACACACAGTGGAAATCTCCTTTCTAAAGACCATGAAAATGTCATAATTTTAGTCATCCCCAGAAGATAATAAACAGCGATACTGTTCACAGAAAGAAACTGTTCCTATCACAGCATAGATTACAAGCTAAGTGAAAGCCAGATGAGGAATAGAGGAGGTCTAGCTACTATCTGTCAAGACATCTGCACTAAGGTAATAAATTCTGTGCTGTAACTAATCTGGACTGGAAAATCCCATGAATCAAATGAATATTAAAGCGTAGCTTGACACAACAGTGACATTTTGGACTGTTCTTCATAAAAAGTTGAAGTTCAAGCTGGGAATAGTTCCGCCTGTGACATCAGCTCTGTCTAAAGCCACATTGCTTCATGGTTTTCCAGATAAATCATTTTGTGTGTGTTTTATTTTAAAATTATCCATAAAAATGTTTAAAATATTTTTATTGTAAACAATGGAGAAGATATGAAATACTAACCAGGCTTTATCTTTCACAAACTTAGCTAAATAGCACAGTAAAGTGATTGAGAGTTCTAGCACCATGACACAAGCAGTCCTCACATTTTACCCTCTTTTGGGATATAATCAGATGCTCCATCCATTCAGGAGCCCTGTCTATTATTAACTGAATTTTACTTTTTTTGATGCTCATGACAGTTCTCATTCCCTTTGACCATATTGGAAACCAATGCAAATGAGTCTGTTTCTGCTGTCCCTAATTGGGAAAGCTGGAATTCCCCTCCGGTATGAGCCTGTAACTCCTAGTTTTGGTGAATTGAGATCCTTTGTGAGATTTCTCATCCTTGCTGTTCCCAGTGCCACTGTTTTCCTTCTTACAGATTTCTTTTTTTTTTTTTAGAGTGAAAAAGGTGAGCAGTAACCAACCACAAGTTGGTTCATACTGTCTTTAACAGTGATTTGATATTTTAACAGATTATTCCATTATATTACTGATCAAAGGAGGAAACCTCTCCAGTACCAACACCTATCAAGAGCTGGTCAGAAAAACATATGGTCTTGTAGGTTATCTAATTCTTTCAACTCTTCAATTTTTATATCCATTTATTGGTAAGATCATATAAAATACAAATTTTTGTGTTTTATAAATAACTAGCGTTTTCACATTGCCTTATTCTTTCACTGGTTAAATGTTAAGAACTCTGCAAATAATATACTGTATATGCCTTTTTCCTATAAAAACAAAGAAGAGAAAATTAAAAATTACTTGGTGTGTTCTAAAGAATGACTGAGGAAGAATTCAATAACCGGAGGACCAGAATAATAGAAATGAACTGAAATGTAACAGCAGAGTAATTCATGATCGCACACTTTAATGATGAAAGTTGCTATGAGAAATAGCAAAGAAGGCATTCTGTTCTAGAATGAGTAACAGATCACAAATTTGATGTGTCAGAAACAAAAGGAATATGTGACTTTAGGAGTATATTGAATTAATGTTTTTCCAAATATGTAATATTACTGTAATTGGAGAAGCCACTGATTGGATCTTGCTTGAATATTATGTGCTGTCATTGCTCTTCAAAAGCATTAATTCAGCCTCATATGCAATGATCTGAATTTATTACAGGTAGCTGAGATTTTTAAGGGACTCAAGTTACTATTACTGTGGGGAACAATGTTACTAACATGTTGACTTAAAAGGGTGTAATTACTACTTCATAGAGAATATGGAAAAGAATTGTAGAGATCTCAGTCCTTTACCATGGAACTAGTTATGCACATGTATGTGCTTGAATTTATTTCTGTAAGTAGTATTAATGACTTAAAATTTCACAGCAGTGAATATTTATGCCTTAGTTAAAATCAATATCTATATGTATGCTGTCTAAATGGTGAAGACCACATGAGTATATAAATACATTGTGTGTGCGCCATGTATGTGCTCTTCTAGTGTAGAATAAGGTAAGAATGAAATATGAATGTTAAGGCCACAGTTCTTATTAACGAGAGGAAGGAATGGAAGTGTATATCTGATATCTTCAGCTGTTTTCTCCTCCTTTCTTCTGGTTTAAAGATTTTGCTAACTTTTTACATAAGCTAGCAAGTCCTGTGCATTTCATTGTAGGACTGATTATTAGACTAACACAGGAACTTTACTACATAGAAACAAGAATTTGAAAGTAAACTGACAAAGAATTACTGTTAGAAACAAACAATTTTAAAAAGCCTTTTTTCCCTTTTCTGAAGTAATTTTGTTTGTGCTGATAAGCACAATGGCCATGCTTATCAGACTGGATTCTTGCTTAGATTGCACCTGTTTAAAAAAAAAAAAAAAAAGATAAAAAACAAAGGCGAGCATTAAAGAATTTTTTTTTTGCTTGTTTTAAACCTGAAACTTAGAAGTTGATGGTGCTAGCCAGAATTCATATAAGAGGGATAGTGGTACATAATCCTGAAGTCTACAAAATATGTGTATTAAATGTTTATAAAATATTTCATATTTGACGTGTACTAATAAAATTTTTATTTTCTTTAAGCTATGATTAGTTACAACATAATAACAGGAGACACTTTAACTAAAGTTTTTCAGAGAATTCCTGGAGGTAAGATGCATTTAAAAGATTCAGAACGGGGAAAATGTATTGGATAGGAATATAGCAAAAGTATTTAGAGATTAGCAGCCTGTGTCAGTCGGAAGTCCTACCTATTACTTTGCTTCTGAATTACTCGTAAATATAGTACAAGTTAAGAACTTGAAGCATATTTGTATGAGTGGTGTTTTGTGGTGTTGGTTTTTTTCTTTAATAAGTCTTTCTGAAATAAAAACAGTGAATTGTAGTCCTTGCTTATCATTGGACTCAGTGTCAGTGAAGAGACCACATGCATCAATAAAATGCTAAGCAAATAGAAAGACTCTTTCACGGTAGTATATTTATAATGTCATCATATTTTGTCATCTTTTTTAGATACTTGCTATAATAATCATTTGAATACTGAAACTGCACTTTATCTAGTGAATAATTCTGGACAACTTGCAAATAATATAATGGATTTAATGCTTACTTAAACATATCTGTAATAGTTGGTCATGAACTACATATGTAACTTTCAGTTCTCTTAGATATTCACTGCAAAATCAGATGTGGCATTTGGAGATTTTTAACTGATGCACTTGTTACCCTTCCTCTGCTGTAAGTTTTTACAGCAGAATCAGTAATTTGTGTGCATGTTTGCCATTTGCTTTAGCACAAAGCCAGCTAATTTAAAACATTCTTCACTCGCAAATTAAACTAAAAAGAACATGTCTGCAATGAAGTAGAAATTAGTATTTGTATGAACTGTTTGATTTCCGTAGGAGGACTGTAATTTTCAGCAGGTGAAGTCTGCAAGATGCGGATGCAGTTTTAACTGCCACGCTCTGTTCTGTGAATACCTGATCAGGTTGATAGTGACAGTGAATATCTAATAATTGATATACAATATGACTTCTAATAGGAGGAACCCCCAGCATGGCACATCTTTCACCTGGCTGGTAGAATGTCTGCCTGAGAAGAGGTGGGAAAGTATTATAATCTCCCATAGAATAGAGGGAACTGAACACAGACTTTCCCTGTCAATTGCCCGTCACTTTCCAGCCATAATTATTCAGCAAGCTTCATTCAAGCCCATGATTCATGGTAGCCTGACTGAAACAGAGATACGTTTTATTTTACCTTGTCATTGGCTTGCAAAAAAACACCAGTTACACAAATAGATCCCACTGATTGCAGGGAATATTATAACATTGTTGTTGGCTTCACATGGTAATCTGTATTTTGCAAGTGGAAGACAGTTGACAGCAAGAAAGGAGGTGCTCAAAAAACCCCTCAAAATTAACTTACTTAAGGATTGCTCTTTAAGAGTTTGCCTACTTTCAACAGCACAGTAATTGTTGTCAATGCACAGTGTCAAAAAATCCTCAAGAGTAAATGGCAAAAAGAAGTAGTAGAATGTTTTACTTGCAGTCTGCCAACATTGACCCAGGCATGATGAAAGAAATTAATAATTTATATGTAGAAATGGCAGACTTCCAAAGTTTGGTATAATATATTCCATATATTATACATTTGGTTTAAATTTGCAGAATTCTTGTGATTACGCACGTGCTGTGTATGATTTCCTCAAGGTTAATTAATGCCTAGCCTTTATTTCAGTGTTACTTAGCTTGAATAAAGGGGATAAAAGCCTGGTCAAAATCAAAGTTTGTTACTCCTGGCCTTTCAAAGGTAACTAACCTGTTCCTCATGTCAGTCTTTTAGAGAAATAAATTATTTTCTTTTTTGCTTTAGTTGCACCAGATAACGTGCTTACTGACCGTCACTTCATAATTCTTCTTACCACCATCATCTTTAGCTTGCCTCTGTCTTTGTATCGAGACATAGCAAAACTGGGAAAGGTAAATCAGAATAGCAGCTGATTTTTGGTTCACTTTTCTATATGCTGTTAGAAAATAAGTGCCAGTCATAACTTAATATATTTGAACTCAATTACATCGGGCTAGAGCATATTAAATATCTTAGAAGTTCAGACTGTCTGCTGTCCCAAGAAATATCAGAAAACTTGGAATAGTTTAAGCAAAACTTTAGTCTCGTATGAATCACTGGATTTTTTCCATCTACTGCTAGTAGAACTCAGATCTTGTAAAGTACTGGGTGATGTAGGCCTGATCTTGTAAATGCTGAGCACCAGTGATTTAGAAATGTTTAAATGGGAATATCACTTAAAATTAGACAAATAGTTGCAATTGGCTAGTTACTCAAAAAGAATAACAAATTAAAAGATGATGATATAGGACAAGATTTCTAATTATAGATATTTTGTATGTGATATTTAGCACTTGGGTTTTAATTATTCTTTAAAAAAAAACCCAAACCCAACACATTATGCAGCTAAGAGGACAGCGTTTCAGCAGCTTACTGACCGAAGTCATGTTTTTCCCTTTACAGGTATCTCTTATTTCTCTGATTTTAACCATTGTCATCCTGGTTATTGTGATGGTGAGAACAGTAACATTCAGTCCACAAGTGTAAGTATTCTTACACTTGCCACAAAGTGAATTTTTGGTCGTACGTAATCTATTATTTCATTATTACGTGGTTTTGGAACATGACTGTTTTGGGAGAGACGGATAATTGAAAAAATAAATCTGTATTGATAGCAATACAAAATGAACTGCTGAGGCACACTGTATCCTTTTTTTTGTTGTTCTGTTGCACATAAGCAAAGTAAGAAAAAGTCTCCAAAACCTACAGATTAATTGGAAATTGTTGCTAATTTGGCTAAGAGCAGGTGGCTCCTGAATGGGCATATGAGGTTGTCTGTCATTTGAGAAGTCTTTAATTTTTTTCTATTATTGTCAGGTGGCCTATATTTATGACCTTAAAATAGGTAGTATCTTAGGAATATTTATTTTCCTGTTAAAATAATGATTTTGTAATAAAAATAGAATACAAATAATGAAAAGAAAAAAGAGAACGCAATAATAAAAACTTCATTCTGTCTTTGAGAAAACAACAATAGAAGCACGCAAAACTGTTTTCCAGCACTCATACTCTGAAAGTAGTATTTAACATTGGACATCGGAGTGTTCTAGACAATTTAGTATACGTGAATGTATGTTGTGGCAATATTTTTATAATTATACTCCAAGAAAGTGTTCTAAATCTATTATCTTTCCTTTAAGACCTAGAAGGTCTGCTTTATCCCTTTTTCTTTATCCTTTAAATGTGAAGATATATTAATAAAGATGACAAACTCAATTTTTGAATGTGCTTTTTTATTTATTGGAATAGTTTTATATAGTATTTCTAATGTTTCTGTAGTAATTGGATTCTTGCATCATGATTGTTTCAGCGGTGTTACACATAATTGTTCATTTGTCTTATTGCTGTGATACGTGGGTTAATTACAGCGCATTCATGTTTAGTGCTAGGAAGATGGCTAGAATAGCAGCTTCTAAAGTTGTACCAGATGATGTTGTCTATCATCCATTAAAATGATGCATTCAGAACAGTGTGGGCCTTCCCCCCCTCCCCCCTCCTTTCTGAACAAGCATGTTTTTCATACTGTGTGTTAAAGGACTGTTTGAAAGGGTAATCTCAAAATCCCTTGTCAAAAAAGGAAGAAGCTATACATAATGGTTACTCATGACCTTGTTACTATGGTAACACTTCTTCTCAACAGTTGTGAGGCACTGAAAAATATGGAATGCGTGGTTTTAGTTTTTGTTACAATAAGTAATGTTGGGTATCGAGTAATTCTTGGAGTTTTGCTTTTTAATTCTTTAAAGACTTCCATTTTTGCCTTTACACTTTTTGTTTTCAAAAATGCATCTAGCAAGTTGATAAACTGTTAATCAGATTTTTTTGCTTCACAAACATTCTATCAATGTCTGTTTTTACGATTTGTATTTTACAGTTAGAAATAGAGATATACTTTAACTGTTAAAACTCTCTTCTAATATTTTGTTAATGATATTATGGTATGCCATCTTTTTTTCTTCAGTGAGAATAAAGAACACAATATATTTTAATATGGTCCAATCATAGTATTCTATCAGGTGAAACAAGTAAATAAAGTGTTTACTGTGAATCCTTATTAAAGTAAAATAGAAGTTGGAGTTTTCAAAGAGGTTTAAAAAAATCATGATTATGAAACACAGTTCTCGGATCTGTCATATAGGAAAAGAATTTACACAATCCTAGATAAAGGCTTGATGGGGCCCAAGACAGAATATTTAATCCCTACTGTTGTCACACAGCAGAAATGATTGTATGCCTGTCATTGATGACAGGTGATTGTCTAGTTTGTTCTTGGCAATTCCATGCTTTCCCATTCCAGTTCTTAACAAGACTTTTCTTAGAAATTCTTCTTAAATGTGTATCGTATGTCTCTCTTACTGCATTTCATGTTGGTTGCTTCTTGGCCTAACCACAGTGGATATGGACAGCAAGCTGTTCATTCCTTTTCAAATGCTTGAAAAACACCTGTAAAGAACTGTAACTTGTTCCCCCTTTGGTTATCTTTTCTATAGACTAAACAAACAGAGTTCCTTTAGTGTTTCTCTTCTTGTCGCATCCTGGGCTGCCTTATGTTCTCTGAGAACATAAGTGGTGCCACAGCTGCCTGTGGTATTCCCATTGAGGAGCAGAGAAGAGACTGATGTATCTCACATGTGAAGTGTCTTTGAGATCTCTTTCAACTGTATCTCTTGGGGATTGCCATGCTCCTGTTTATGTAACCTAGTTTCATGTTTACCTCTTTGGAAAATAGCATGACATTGTGGACATGCCTTGAGTTTTCAGTCTAATAGAAGCACCAAGCCCTTCTCTGCAGAACTGTGAGCTGGTAGTTTTTTCTTTCTTTGCTCCATTCTCTTGAAGTTTGAGGGTTTTTTGGTTGTTCCCCCCGCCCTGTTCTTGTGAAGCCTTTTTGCCCTTGCAAACTGTAGAATTTGTCAGTACACAATTCAATACTTCTTTATCAGATGATTTCTCCATTTACCAACATACTTATGATTTTTCTTTTTTCACCCTGTTCTCTAGCATGCTTGTGTTTACTGCACGTTTCATGCTTTCTGTTAAGAATGTTCTCACTTTTTGTGCCATCATGCAAGTTACTGCTAGATGCATTCAAAAGTGCTGAACTCGTGTCAGGTTCCACTGGAATCCCATTAAGATGTCTTCCCACTTCAATAATTACTCTCCAAGTAGTAATCAGTTTTCACTTACCTTTAGATTTTTTAAAGTGAAGATTGCTTCCCTTTGACAGGTACAACAAGATTATCTGGGGGTGATAAAACTGTCTAGTTGCTTAACTGCAGTCCATGTTCCAGTTGAAAATTATATCTATTATTTGGACAACAGAGAATATTATCTTTCCTAGAAGCTGCCTGCAATGTGTTAGACCATCAGCAAAACAATGTTATTGCTGTTTTTAATGATTTGATGTACTTGAAACTGTAGGCTGAAAACAGCAATTACAAGTCTTTTGGAGTGTTGCGTTTCTATTTACTTTTTTTCAAGTTGCTTTGGGAGTGTAGCAGGTTGTTCAGGGACATTATGGGAGTGTTATTTTCTTGTTCATTCTCAGGAAAAAAATTAATGTCTTTATCAAGAGGGATTATTCGGTTTAATTTATTTACTTTTATGACAAATAGGAAAGTGAGGTTTTTTTTCTATCAGTTTTGCTTTTGATTAATATAATCCATATGGTTACTGTTGCCTGAAGAACATAATGAATCTGCAGATGAAATCCAGTGTTCTGGACCCAGTGTTTTCTCTCAATAGTTTAAGATGTTGGATAAAAATACATTTTGATGATCTGTTCTTTGCTTTATTTCCACCTGCTTATAGCTGGGTATTTTTCTACTGTGGTCAAAAACAATGGGTTAGAATTATCTCAAACTGTAAATTTGCAGTATGTTAATACTGCATAAAATAACTTCATGCTTCAAAGCTGAAACTAACATTCATTGCTGTAAAAAGCAATATTATACGTTGCTTATAAAGATAGATCATTTTAATTTGGTGTTCTTTTGGAAAGAATGTCATGATATCAGTGTCTGCATAATACATAAATCTCTAGGAAAATCTTAAAGAGCATCTGCTACGCATAAATAGGATGTGAGAATTACTCAACTGGCAGCTGATCACAAGGATGAAACACCAAGTGTTCAGGAAAATAACTTGAAAGTAGAAAGTTGATTCTTTCCTTCATATAAATAATCCAATAGTAAGCAAAGATAAACTTCAATGTGTGATGAAATTAACAAAGGAAAACAAGCTACCCTATATTTACAGAGCTGCTAAGTAGTTCATTAAGGAAGAAAGGGGAGTTAAAGCAGCTGTAACTAAGTGGGGTTGACATATGGCTTTGCCTTGTCTGTGTTCTTTAACAACCAAGATGACTTTGATTAATATAAAATTCAAGGCTCATGTGAGCATTTCTCATTTTCTTTCCATTATATTGATTGAAGTTATATTCAGCATCTGTAAACTTTTTCAGTACTTTAAACTTTTAAAGTTTAAACAAAAACTAAAAAGGTGTTTTCCCATAGAATAGAATTGAATTGCAGTTTTACAATTAATTTCCTAAATGTCTAAATTGTTGAATTGAACCTGAATTAATCTGCCATGCGTTCCTGGATTATTTTGATAACTGTTGGTTTACACCTGAACTTGGCGGTTTGTCACTGATCTTCAATCCAAAACAATGGAAGTCTTTTCATTCCAACATGTAGCTCCCCTGTCAAACATATCTTTGCTTCCTCTCTAGAAATTAGCCTTTTTTTTTTTTTTAAGCCAGTAGTTCATACCTGCAAGCGGGGTTGAGATCAGGGGCATATGTTTCTCTTGCCGTCCTTAAAGATATTGTGCTTCTGATGCACTCTGCTGCTGTATTATATTTGGCAGCATTTCTACATAAATGACAGAAAAGATTTTTGCATGGCATGGATCTTAAGATGGGGAATATTATACTGTAAAAGTTTTACAGGAAGTAGAAGATATGCTGTTTTACACTGTCAAAGGAATTTGCCCAACTCTTACTCATGATGTGGATATCAAATGCCTTTTACCCTGTTAGGAGGTCTTACCCTTTGCCTGGTTCATTTGTTTTTTTTTCATTTTCCTCTTTTCTTATGTACAGGGAAACACGTTTATGTTCATAAACATGAATATTTTCAAACCTTTTTTAAACTAGCTAGCATGTTTGTTATGCTATACTTTGCCTTAAGTATACTGAAGACTGAGTAGAGTCTTATTTTCTTAACCTCTAGGCTTTTTTCATCGCTAGACTTCGCTACCTTCCTATGGACAGTTCTTATCATCATTCTGTCTTGCTGGTGTCTTACTTTCAGCTGAGACTTTTACCAGTCTGGGATCTCCCTTGGAATGTCTTTTTGTTCAATCTTTTATTATTTTTGTTCCGAGAATCACGGTTATACTACCTGTCCGTTTTTGCTTTGTGTTACAACTTATACTATGTGTGATAGACAGTAGAGCTCTCAGCAAGTGCATTTAGTATCACAAATGTATTTCTTCTGTTAACTTTCATTGTGTTTCATGTAACTGCTTCTCCTTGTCCAGCATGAAAAAAACTGTTTATGTAGGCATAGTCTGTGTTTTTATACACTGAGTGAGGAGCAGTAAGCTAGCTGGTTTTGTCATTCATGGATATTTGCAGATACTGCTATTCTTGTATGAGCAGCAGTTAATGTCTTCCCCTAACAATTCCTAACAAGAATTAGGTCAAACTGGTCAGTCGTTCAAAAAAAAGTCGTCCATCCTGAACAGTAGCAACAGGGTTGAAAAAGCAGAACAGGTATAGAAGTATAGTGTTACTTGGTATTCCTGTGATAGACTTTTTCAGCGTATGTACATATCTGCCTACACAGATGCATGTATTTATATGAATGTATATGTTTACCTTGACACTTGATACTTGATATTTCCATTAGCTGCCCTTTGCCTTGTGAGTCATTTTAACTGATTATTCACTGTATGGCACTTCCATAACTAACAGCTACTGTTTCCTGACAGCATTTTCTCTTTCCCAGTCTGAAGTCTCATTTTATATAGACACTTTCATGTCACCTGCACCCTTTTCCAGGAGCTTTGCATAAGTCTGTATGTCCTGCAGACTAGACTTGGGGGTGATTTGTTGATATGGTCAGAACTCTAGAGCTGTTGACTCTTAGTTCTAAATGCTCAGAAATGAAATTTCTTACGGTGTTGCTTTCACTTCTCAGTTTACATATTGCATCTGTGCAAGATCCCCCTGTTCCCAAGGTATGGAAAGGTTTTTCAAAACACATGCATCAGTATAAGACTTACTGTAAGAAACAGCTATATACTGTTGCATATGTCATCTGTAACAATGTGCATTGTATGACATTGCAATCTGCTGGTAGTGTTCAAATCATGGATCTGAAATTCTTCCTCCATACTGCAAGTAGAGTGGAAGGAATTTATCTTCTAACGCTGCTAAATAGGCAGGACTTTGTTCTTTCGGATTTTTTTCCCCCAAATAATACTCCTAATCGTATTTGCCATTCATCTGTAAAGCAAAGCTATATTTTGGTCTGTTGCATGTTGCTAGTGCATGGGGGAAACACTGTGCTGGGGGAAGACTAGCACCCGTGACTTACTTTTTTTAAATTAATTGTTTGGCCCTTTATTCAAAATGGAATTAAATTCAACTGAAATTCACGTGCTTTCTACATTCCATTTTTTTCTAATCCCTATTTATAGAAATTTATAATATAGTTACACTGTTGCACAGGATGTACCATTTTTACAGAAATTAAATGTGTTTCAGGCAAAAGCATTCTTTATTTCTGTGCATTTTAAAAGTATTTTGCATTATAGGGTATTAGGTAACCTAAGTGTTAGTTATTAATAGAGAAGGGGGTAAGGAGACTTTCACAAATTCTGTTATCAAAGGATAATAAAACAAATTTTCATTCTGTATGTTTGATATCAAAGCTGACCTCTAGTGGTTATGGAATGGAACAGTTGTGATGTTAGCTTTCTATATTCTATTTTTATTTTGGAATATTACTAATATTTTTTTTCCAATCAGATGTGAATGTTTTCCGGAAAAATAATACCCTCAAAGTTATGAATATGAATTGTCTACAGACAATTCATATTCTAGTGATTTGAAATCAGTGGCATCAAGTTAAGGGAGGGTACTCTATATAAGGAACTACAGCAACTATACAGGAACTCCTGTGCCACAAGACAAATGCCAGATGTCTCTATTTCATCCATAGTATTTATTACATCTACATTCTGAGTCTGACAATGTTTTAGGAGGTCTATATTCAGCTGCTTAAGACTAGAAGCAGTATGTTACAATAGTCAAGACAACATACTGCATCTGAGGAAAAAACCTTAACTTGATTTTGGTGCTCAGGTTCTGTTCACTTCAAAGCAAAGCTTAGCAACCACAGCCTAAGAGCTGAAAAGGTGCTGTAAGTCTGAGCTGAATGTGCATTAGGTACAGTAAATCTTTTTTTAATATGGAAAAGGAAGGATTGACTGTTTGAGCTCTCAAGAAGTAGTAAGATACGAGTTCTGAAAGGGGAACCAGCAACATCTTTTTTTTTTTTCTTTTTAGGGGGCAGGGGTATGGTTTAAACATTTGAAAGCAATGAAACCTGGCATGGCATATGCCACTACATCTATCAAAACCAGCTAGTTATCACCAGACAGAGAGAGAGACAAAGTTCCCAGGGACAAAGCTGCTTGTTACCTTCACAGAACCGGCGTGAGTGTCATGCTGCTTTCTAGGGCAGTAGGAAAATCACAGCTAAGGCCTCAAGTGGCAGCAGCTTTCCCTCTAAATAAAAACAGAGCAAAGTTAGCAGCAGCCAACTTTTTAAGAGCAAGCTTACTGTTGCTTTGTCTGTGCTTCAGTATTACAAATATAATGTTCAACTGGCTTGTGAATTTCATTTGGTATTTTTAGCAAGTTGTAGCTGTGGAAAAGGATGTTCTGCGTCCTTCCCCTTTTCTTCATTTTGGCTCTTTATTCAGAGGGGAAGTTCACGCATCAGATGGATTTTAACAAAGATTGCTGATGGTTTTCTGTGGTCCTTCTTTAAGGATTTAATTTTACAATTACCATGGGTCCAAAACTGTGGGCATATCTTAGAGGAGCAAATGTGGGGGATATTACTTATAAAAGTCTTCATATACTGTCTTTTACTTTATTTTATCGCTCCTTTGGGAACTAGATTAATCCCTTTACTATGAGGAATAGTTGGAACAGGTGTAAAGAAAGACAAACTGCCTCATTTGATTTGTAGCCTAGGACGAAAGTATCTCTAGACTGCATTGATTACGTGTGCAAATTCAAAGGAAGAAATTGCCTCTAGTCAGAAGAGATTTTGGGTTGAGATAACCTTAGTCAGAATCAGTAACAGCTTTTACCTTCCCTGTTGCTGTTTCCTGGTATATGATCACTTGAAGACTTTATTTACAAAACTGGTCACTGAAACAGGCTGACATTTTTGGCTGTAAGAACTGGTTACAGAAATACTTTAATCAAAACAAGGGCAGTGAGAAGAGTGTCTCCCTAGTTTCAACTTACTGTTGATGAACACTCTGGCCTACTTCAGAGAGTTTTGGAGATCTGACTAGCAGTTCTGTATTACAGCATAGTATTTTAAATTATTTTTCATAACTGATCACTGAAAGGAGGATAATCTATTAAAACAGATGTCTGTTTTAGACCCAAATCAGAAAATGCATGGATATTTGCAAAATCAAATGCAGTACAAGCCGTTGGGGTGATGTCATTTGGTAAGTATTTTTTTCTGCATTTTCAATATTCAGATAAACTGTAAGAAATTATTTAATACTTTGGACCTAGAAATTGCATTTTTTTAATTGTAATTTTTTTTTATATTCATGTTAAACTGGTTTAGAGAAAAATTAAGTTGACTTTGAATCATCCATAGTTGAATTTAATTGTTATAGTTTAAGATGTTACCCCCATCCATTGCTGTACAGGCTATTACCATTGTAGCAGAGACAGCGGTGTGTCACGTGAGTCCAGCTCAACTGTCCAGGTGATCTTAAAAAAACCTGCACCAATAGGGTTAGTCTAATTCATAAACTGAGTAGGCTGTGATTGTTCTGCCTTCTCTTGGATAACCTCTAACAGAAAAATCTTAGGCTGCAATGCATACATTCACTGGGAAGTGCCTGTTGGTTCCCATTTCTCACAGTGAACCATTCAAGTAAGTCTCAACTCGCCTCCATTATCCTCATTTTAAAATATGTTCCTGCCTGGAGCATCTGTTATATTACCTCTTGTTAATGCTGTGATAATCTGAGGCCTCCCAGTGCTTGCTGCTGCCTAAAATGGATGTCATAGGAAGTCTGAAAGTAGCAAATGGCTCTGTGGACTTAAAAAAAAGTATCTCAAAACTGCTGTTGGGTTCTTAAGCAAAAGAAGAGCAGGAAGACAAAATAGAGGTGGAGTGGAGGGTGGGAAGCAGTGTGACATTTTAGAGTAACGTAATCAGAATCATCTCAGGGTGAACGTAAACCTTCATTAAATCAAAGAATTAAGTAAAAGTTAAAGCCATTTATCTTTGCCACTCATTTCAAGATTAATGTTTGTATTTAATAATGAGTTCAGATATTCAATAATGATTCAAACTGTTCTGTGTCTCTCTTACCTTGGTTTATACACTCTGCGAATTTATTTTATATGCATATAAGCATGAATTTATACATTTGCTTTAACTGTCGTCTGTTTCAGCATTCATCTGCAACCATAACAGCTTTTTAATATATGGATCTCTGGAAGAACCCACATTAAAGAACTGGTCTCGAGTCACACATGTGTCTGTCTCGCTCGCTCTTGTTATCAGTGTAGTGTTTGCTGCATGTGGATATATGACTTTTACAGGATACACAGAAGGTAAACACAATTTTGGTGCTTGCTGTAATCCTTACCTTCCCACCTTTCTGTCTGACTTTTGCTGTTAATATCTTAGGGATTGTAAAAATGCTAAAATCATACTATGTTTGGACAGAAATAGTTAGGACGTTCCATGTAGTTACCCAACAACCAAAACAGGGTACAGAGATGTCAGCTACATGCCAATAGGTGTCAGATTCCCAAGCGTAAGCCTCACTGGTGAAAGTTTTCTTTGAATACTCCCGTAATCAAAATACTTCTGAGGACTAAACATTTATAATTTAGCCACATGATCCACTAGCAGAGACCAGCAAGAAGAAAAATTGCCTTGATTTTTCTACAGGGGGCCTGACACATATTTCTGTACATTCTCCTGTACCTTTTCCTATCTGTGCTAATATAGCTCTGACTTAGAGATCCTAGCCTCAGAGAACCCTAGCTCTGACTTAGAGATATTTCCTATCTTTACAACAACCGTTCTGCTGTAACTAATCCTACTGTTACCGCTGTGTATATATGAATATACATATATGTATAAATGTATATAATCAATGTTACATCATATTATTTAACATCATTTTGTTGAAGTGGAAAAGGTGCTTTCAGAAGAACAAGCATAAATTTGTTCAGTCCATTAGCTTCTTCAGTAAAAATAACACATTCCGTAAGCAAGTGGTTTTTCTGTTATTTAATAGTGCTGTTCCAAATTGTAGGAGGAAGCTTCCAAGCTTTTTCCTTTCCGGATGAGCAGCAGCATGCAGTTGAGGAACTGAGGAATTGTCGGATGGGGGTTACTGGTTGATCTGTCCTTTTTTTCCTGCCTCCAGTGCTGTTTATGCAGAATACCTTACTGTCCTAGGTGCAGTTGTAGCTAGACTAAGTGCAAATTGGCTGAGATATTTCAAGTATAGAAAGCTCTGACTGCAGCTATCTCTCAGCATATGAGTTTACTGTAAGCAGGTTCCATCTTACCTTCTGTCTACCCTGTCAAAATCCTTTCGCCGTTGTCTCTAAAGTACAGCTTATTGCTTCTTCAGTGCCTTTGTGATCCTAAAAAGTAGTAAATCATAGGACAGTATAGTAATCAGGTAGAAAACACCTGATAGATCATCTGATGATAGCTGTCATGCCGTGTCTCTTGTGCCTCAGAGATTCTCTGTGGTAAACACTAAGCAAGATGATGATTTGAATTCTCTAGCAATGCTTTTGTTGTTAGATGTAAGATTTGCTAGGTAATAATCCATACATTTATAATGGGGGTCAGAATATTTGAAATTCTTCACTGCAGCTTAACAGCTATAACTAGATAGTATCAGAGAAATGCAGTTCTCCAGAGGTAGCTCCCAAGTCTTCCTTGTGTAGTTGTTGTTCCAGGAATTACATTTTTAAAGGAAACATATCTTTTACATACAAGCTTACTTTCTGAATCTGTCATATATTTATTCAAACACCAGCATCTTGCACAAAATCTGTGCTAAGGGGAAGACAACAGATGACAAATTCTAATGTGTACATGTTAAAATAATTTTGAAAGGTAAATGCTACTTGAAATAAAAACACTGCAACTAGTAGGATAAGGTGAAAGTTCCTCCTGGATGTAATCTGTGATTGTAACTACAGGTTCTTGATATGTGTCAGGAGAGGGGATCAGAAAGTCTCAATTTCTACAGTAACTCCAGTAACTTACACTTCAATTTGCAAACAGGCAAATGTCATGAAGTTCAAACTAACTGATGTTTTGCTGTGCCTCAGGAGATATATTTGAAAACTATTGTAGAGATGACAACCTTGCTACATTTGGAAGGTTTTGCTATGGAGTTACTGTAATTCTGACCTTCCCCCTTGAATGTTTTGTGACCAGAGAGGTAAGAATTTATTACATTCTCCCTTTAACAATGTTGATATATATTAATAATATTCACACGTTAATACATATTGTTGCTGAAGTCAGTGGTTGATCTGTAATAAATATCAGCATATCCTATCCTGCTGCATGCAATGAGTATGAGGTACTAGTTGTACTGTTAAGATTCTGGCAATATAATGCTGTATTACACTTATTATAATATTCCAATATTATATTAATAATTACTTAATAATATTAGGACTGCTTCAAATTCCAAGTTTTGCATAAATGTCACTGTTTTTATTAGGCTGAGAATAGCCAAAAATAGCATATTTATCATGCTTACTATGTGAAAGTATCTCCATCTAGGAAATCCATCTGTTCAGTAAATAATTGTAAGTGGTTTTTAATCTGTAGCGGGCAAATGAGAAGAAAGTAAATACACCCTAAATCCTGCAGGTATAACTAAGTCAGTCTTGCAACTGTTCTGCAATTTTAGTAATGCTTGAAACAAGTTATTTTTTGAAGCGGACGAAGTTGTTTTCTTGAAGCAAGATAGGTAAAGTTCTGTCAGTGTATTCTCACCCATTCTTTTGGTTTTGTAAGGTTAGAAGATTTGGAATAAGCTGTTTGCTAACATAAAGAGCAAAATCAAGGTTAAAAATTGTGGTTCTGTTTCAGGTGATTGCCAATGTGTTTTTCCATGGGAACCTCTCAACAGTTTTCCATATTTTTGTGACAGTAGTTATCATTGCTGTGGCGACCGGCGTATCATTGGTGTATGATTGCCTTGGAATAGTTTTAGAACTGAATGTAAGTGAACCTGTATGTTCTTTTATTTAATAAATCAGTTGTTTATAAAACAGAACTGTGAAAAATCCACAGCTCTACTGAAAATCTGATGTAATTTGACATAGTAGTCAGTAAAAAACGTTAGTAGAAAAAAAAAAAGGAATTATTCATTGCTTCAAAATTGGATAATTACAGAAGAAAGTAAGTTCAGGAAGTAAAGTTCATATGGTTGGGGAGGGCTTTTAGAACAGTTCTGGAGATATGGAAAGTGGCTGTGACTTACCAAATGTATTTAAACTGCAGTGGAAATCACTAAAATACTCATCCTAACTATTGCAGGACTGAATCTGGCATTTCTTTCTGTAATCCCTGCTTTTGATGAAGCTGGCAAATTACTTAACAGTGGGACAGATCTTAATGACTGCCTTGTGCCAAAGGGGCAAAAAACAAATCAGGGGGCTAAGAAAGAACCGAAAGAAGCAGTAGTAGTGAGACCACAGGGATAATAACTGGAATTTTTCCCTGTTTTGGGCTTAACAAGGAGCAAAACTGAGTAATTTCGTAACCTGAGTGTGCAATTTTTACGAGAAAACATCTTTGTTTGCCAGTAAATATTTCTGTATCTGGTATAGCAGAGATGGAGCTTACCAGGCAGGCCACACAAGGCGCCTATGACTTGAACCAGTTCTAACACAGTTATGTAACTTTTTTGCCTGGCTGGAACTGCTTATAGTCTATTGGAATCCTAGACTACTAGTTACCAGATTAAGTCAGTCTGTTTTGGCACACAATGTACATTTAGTGAAAGGAAATGTTTAAAAAAAATAATCCAATCTACATTTATGATAACCATTGTTTGTCTTAACAGTTTACTTTCAATTTCAGGTCAGCTATTTTTTCATACATACAATATAACATACTTTCAATTTCAGGTCAGCTATTTTTTATAAATAAAGCAGATGTGGAAATATACCCCAGGATATAAAAGTTAGGAGGTGGAGAAAACCTTTTAAGGGCAGCGTTTGCTTCTTTATAGACATATTTTAGAATTACCTCCTTATGTCCCTGGCCATGCATTCATTGACAATTTCAAGCCGTATATTGCATGCTTACCTAAAACTGATGGAACAAAATGGAGGGAGTTGGGTTTTATGCTACATGGTACGTGTACTTGTAGGTACGTTATGATACATGTACACTGTTTTGATCCACAGTGCAGTTGCAGCGCATCTGCTGACCAAGCAGTAATGAGTGATCTTGTAGCAGTGATTTAGCAGGTCGTGCTTGTGCTAACGTAGAACAGGTCTGAACGTTCAGATAAGCTATCCAATTACCCTCCATTTGAAATAATTACCTACATAGTTTCTTCTCAGTTAATGCTTTCCAAATTATAACAAGCTCAAAATAAATAATACTGCTATTGGTTTGGTCAGGATGCATGTTTCCATTAAAATTTCTCATTCACAGCATGAATACATACACACATGCCTATTCCATCCAAATACCTGAATACAGGTATAATGAACCTAATTAACTATGTGTGCCCATGTATGTCTGTATATGTGGCTTACATTTATTATATGGTATAATATGTTAAGAATAAATTCACACCAGGGAGCTGCCAGTGAGTCTTTCTAGCATAAATAAATATGTGTGATTACTATCTGGAATGAAATTGTTTTAAAATAATCACTCAAAAGCAAACATTCCATCAGTGCAGTATCTACACAGAGAGCCCTAAGCAATTAGTCAATAGTCAAGCTGATAGCTTGATTCAGTTACAAATAGAGGTTGATAAGCAGGCATTTGAGTGGGTAGCTCATATCTTGTGGGGGTTTTTTTTCAGAGAGAATTTGACAATACAGCTGTACATATTTATTAGATGTACTTGCGCTTAGAAAGACTGTTCAGTCTTGATATCCACCAGTAGAGGAAAAGTGAATAAGCAGAATTTATACATGTGAAAATAAGATGATCTGTCTTCTCAGCAGGCTTTCTGTTCAACAGAAGAGCTGTCTTTTGGCTCTTCACCACAGATGGCATTTGCTGCTGTTTCTCTGACTCTGCTTACTTTTCCCCTGCTTTCTGGTTTTAAAACAAAACACAAGCCATTGTGTTTGCCCTGTGATAATTCGCCAGGGAAACTGTTCAGTCATACAGGAGTCAAGGGTCCATGGATTTTGCTGTGCTGTTCTTTCACTGGGATGCTGATTTGTGTTGCTTCACATACTCAAGAATCTCATTTTTTGTGAAGAAGATATGTTGTGCATGTACCTATTTTTGATGTCTGTACTGATCACTGTTAGCAGGTTCTACCATAAAGATATACAAAAGTTTGTACAAACAATGATGCAAAGATACTCGGTAGGCTGGATTACTACCTCACAGTAATTAAGTTGGAACATAGTGCTTAAGTATGTGACAAAGTAAATGTTCCAAATTTCTGCATAAAAATGCTCTCTTTTGGCATGTAACTCATACATTAATCTGCAGTGGCTTTACTATAAAAAGCATTTAAGCAGGTGCTTTCTATCTGCCCCCATCTAAGAGAGCATTTAAAGGGAACTGAATTTTTAATAAGAGGGAGCATTCTACTCTGTCAAAGGGAGCTTTGCTTTCATAGAGAAGTCAATGTAAATCAGGTCATAAATGTAGAAATTGATCAGAATTCTGTGAACTCCTACGTGATGTTTCCAATTTTAAGGCAGTATTATATCTAGACTCCTACATGGATTTAATAGTACTTGCAACATAAAATATTATTCTGTGTCAGCAAATCAAAAGCATTTAAATAAATCTGAATTATTTCCAATAGTTTTACAGATATTTTTGCAGGTTATTTGTGATTTTGAAAAGAAAGTTTTCCATGTAGCAACACTGGAAAAGGCCTCTATTCTCTGGCTTTTATGTTGCATCAATTTAATCACAACCATTTGAAAATCTAGGTTTTTGTCCTTCATATCTAAATATACATGCTTCTGAGGGTTTTTTCTATTGTTGTTTCCCACACACAGGGAGTTCTGAGTGCTACCCCACTTGTTTTTATCATCCCAACAGCGTGTTATCTAAGGCTGTCCAAAGAGCGATGGAACCATTCAGATAACCTCATATCCTGCCTGATTCTTGCTGTTGGTGTGCTAGTGATGACAGTTGGGTTTGTTTTGACCATCTTGCATCCCCAGGAATGTAGCCATGGAAAAGAAATGTTCTACTGCTTCCCTAGTAATGTTTCTTTTCGCAACAGTACGCTTCCACCATAGGTAGGTAGCACGCCAATCTCCAGACTAGATCAGGTACATCTCACAACAAGCCATACATGTCAGTCTAAAGGAGAGTGGAACAAAGAGCCTTTATGTTTTGATATGCACTAAGAATTTTAAACTGTATACCTGTATTTACATACTTGGTTTTAAGCTGCCATCCTTTTCCAGATAAGACTTGAGTTTTAGCTGTTGAAACAGACTTTCTCAGAGGTGCTTTTCAGTAGACATTACTTGAATAACCTACAAACCTATCAAAAAAGGCTGCATTTTTTTTAACTTAGTCTGCAGTGCTGTTTAAAAGCTATGATGAAATGTTTAGGAATGTGAACGTCTCCCAAGTTTCATTGCTGTCATTTAGTTTTTATTAATTTTATAACCTTTTAATGTATATTTATTAGCACACTGTAGTATGGAGTTTTTTAAAGTCCTGAAAAAAAAAAAGTATTTCTGAGTCTCTCTGTGTATTAAAATTCTGCTGTTAAGTTGAAAGACCCCTATAAATTCTGTCTTTGATTTTGCAATAACTCTCCTTTAGCGCTGAAAGCATCCCTTGTACTGGCTCTTGAGTCAAGGGCAATTTTGTATCCTGACTGAACTGTAACTGATATAATTTAACTGTAAGTGTTACAATTTGTGGTCTTGTAATTAAAAGATTTTCATGAATAAATCCACACAGGTGAACTTAGATTGAAGTAAACGGTCTTTGTAAAAAAAGGCAAGATTAACAGAGAAGAAAATGACGTGTAACAAACACAGCTTGATTCTTACATTTATAACCCTATTTATTATTTCTGAAACTGGATTGAAACATTACTATATACCAGGCATGTGCAGCTTGAGCAAATTTGGTGAGAAAACATTCTAAACTTGGTTATTATTCTAGTCCTCTAATTCTTTTCAGTATATGGCTCTTGATTTTGTCTTGGTTTGTTAAATTTTGATGATTTGTTATCCTAGGTAAGCAAAGATCACTAGATGGTGATAATACTCATAAGAATAACACAGTTTTAAAATCAGTAGTTTCATAATAAGTGTTTAAAGTATTGTTGCTTTTTTTGGGGTGGTGGAGGGTTTTTTTGTTTTTGTTTGTTTCTTTTTAAGTTGTAAAGCTAAAAGTTGGGAGCGCTATTCTGCTTTGATTTCCCTATGTAGAGTCAGCTTTGAGGGAGATAATTCATCTGCTGTCCAGGTACCTGGTACTGTTGACAGAGTATGTTTTTCACCAGTTTAGATCCAGCAACAGCTGATTTTGACTTAGCTGTGGGTGAGTAGTCACTGGATGGACTCCCCTTCTTCTATGCCAAATGGAGTTAAATAATATTTCCTTGTGACAGCTAATAAGATCTTTCTGATGAATCAGAAATCTCTCATGAGCTTTTCTGTTCTTTTTTTCTGATTTTTTTTTTTATTTCTTTTGTTGAAGTGTGTTACCCTGTTTCAAGTATTAATTATAAGCTATCTTTGCTTTAGAGGGTTAATGGAATAATTTATAGGATGCATTCTAGTATTGCCTGTTCAACTTAAAGATTCTACTGAGGCTGTGTCAATATTAAATCACGTTTATATGTCCTTTATGAAGGACAAGTCTTTCTATGCCTTTCTACTTTGTAAATGCAGATTTAAAGAGAATTTGTTTCATGATGCTATCTAATTTGAAAAGTGTAAGGTCTGAGGTAGTAATGGTCAGTTAAAAGTTTTCATTGCTGGTAAAGCTTCTTTTATAGTTAAAAGTTTCTTTTGCCAAAACTAATTGCATTCTTATAATCATATGCTCAGTGGTTTTCATTCATGAATTTGCCAGGTGACAATGGGGCTCTCCTAACCATAAGTACACTGAAAAAGGGAAGTCAGACGTCATGGATGCCAGAATTTAAAGTTAACTGCTATTTGGCTAATGGCTTTATAGAAGCTATGGTTCCTTCCTTTCCAGTATTACATAGTGTAATTTGCCTTTATTGAAATGACAAATAGCAATAACCTGCTCTATGCTCTCTTAGGAGCTAGGAGGTCTGAATACAGAAAGAAGCACCTTTTTATTTCATAATAAAAATTGTGATAGTCAGTGTTTTTTGGAAACAGTTAAGACTGCCAAAAGTAGAGTTGTAGCTGTCTTCAACAGCAATACAGAAAGCTTTTAAGGATATAAAAATAAAGCTGTTATAAATATGACAGTAGGTAAATCTTGATGCAACAGAAAAAGGAAGATATGTAAACTTAGAATGAAACATTACAGAAAAGAAAGTACAACCACACTAAAGAATCTCTTTTTCCCTCCTCTGCCTCTGTCTTTGAAGGGGGGTACCTCACCTGGGGTCCCCCAGGTCCCCAGTAGCCGATTTGGCCTAAACCATGGCACTCTGGCTCTTTATGTTTCAGTATGATAATTTTTTCTTTTTCATTTCAGTATCTTTTCAGATTTGTATCTTGTTTTTGCTTGTTAACATTGCAGACTGGGTTTTTTCCTAGCTTTGTAAAATCCATTGGGATGCTCTCACTGGCCTTAGCATGTGCAGGATCTCACCACTCTCATAGTACTTCAAGCAGAGGTATGCTGTCCACAAAAGTGGAAGGAGTGCTGGAAGCAGCGATATCCCCAAATCCAAATGCTCTGTGGTCACAGGACTTCATGGAGTCCAGGCAGAGGGAGAACAGCAATGTTCCATAAGCACTTGCTGGCAGGGTTTTCACATCAAAAGCTGGTAGTGTGACTCACTTTTCTTCCAAGTTCCTCTCTCCAGCTGAGAAGGCATTTCAGGACACCAGATGTACAGTTGCCATTCTTAGGAGCTAAGCAGACAGTTTCTAACTTTCTAGAGCAGCATGCTTCTTAGCAATCACAGACTTCTGCACATTCATAAAATATTTTCTCCTGAAAGTTTGTCGGAATCCCTAGAGAATTTTCCTTCCTCCTCAAGTTTCTCTATGGAAGCGGGGCAGAATGGCTCAGGCTTGCTAAATGGACATAATTCTATATATTTTTCACACACAAAATCTTTATATCATACACATTATCTGGATCTGATACTAGAAGGGTATTTTTCTATCTAGTAGATAAACTATTTAGTATTTGTGACTCGGTAGCAAACAAAACTTAAGTGTAGTGTGAGGATTTATCTGGTGTGAACACTGAATAGAAAGTAGCAGACTAAACAAATGTATTGTGAGTGCAAAACATGAGATTGAACACATTCCCATAGCAGGAAGGAGGGAGAAATAAAAAAAAAACAAAATGCACAGAAATTTTGTATTTTCATAGTAGTTCTGTTACATGAAGATGTAATTTTAAAAAGCAGTTCTTGAGTATCAGCCTAGAAACTGTGTTTCAACAGTTGTTGTTTGGATTTTTTTTAGAATCGGCATGAATTCTACAAAGTAAAGGCTTTGAATTCAGGCCAATGAAGGAAATAAGTAGAAGCTTTCCAGTTTCTGTCATTCAGTGCTATTGGAGAAGATGAAATTCAGGTACACGCTTAGTACAAATTCAACATTTGACTCAAAACTCTTAATGGAGAAAAGTCACATTATTTGATTATTCCTCTTTCTCCTTATTTTTCCGTTCCCTCCCAGCTAAATATTGATCCTAGGTGCTTCATAAGACAATACCGTATTGAGAAGCTATAGTTGATGTAAAAATCACATGCAGCAGGCATTCAAGACAACTTCAGGAAGGTCTGAATTTTCACATGGTTTCCTAAAGGAGGCAATGGCCCTGAAACACTGGAAATCCCCAATAAAATTAATGGACATACTGAATTCATACAAGTACTGAAGTAATGAGCTGAAGACAAAGAGAAAGTTAGAAACTAAGTGAAAAGTGACTATTAGGTACTGTAGGAATAAATTACAGATGTCATTCTGTAAAACCTGCATTAGGTGGGATCATGCAGACCAGCTTTCAATAGGAGGCTTATGTCTGCCACAAGCAGTATACTTGGCAGGCTCAGCTGTAGCAAGTAGAAAGCTCTACACTGAAATAATTGCACACAGCCTGCTTCAGTTACCTCCTATTTTCCTTTGACTTTTCAGCGGTGTCCTTTGTCTCGATGGCGGCAGAAAAACTGACAGTGGTGATACTGCTGTCTTGCCAAGACTTAGATTTTGTGGTGGTATCTTGTATGCACCTCTCGTGACTTTTGTTTCTAGAGGCAGGAGCTATTTTATTTTTTTTTTTCTGTGTTCATATACTGCTTAGTACAGTGGCTTCTGATTGATGAGAGGGGCCTCCTAGGTGCTGTAGTAACATAAGGCTTAGAAGATATCTCCATACTTGGTTCACTGCATTTAGTGACTTGGTTCAAATATTTGGGGGGTGGGGAAGAAGGCTTAGATGTCTCCATACTTGGTTCACGGCATTTTGTGGCTCTTCTGAAAAAGACACAGGTGTCAAATACCTTCTTTACCTAGCCAAAGTGGTTAGTAGTTATTGTAGTTTTTGTAGTGCTGCATGAGAACTTTTGTGAAAAAGCAGTACCCTGCCTGTTATACAGAATGTGTTCAAATGCAGGGCAGTCCTGGACCTCTTGGAACACTAATTATCTCATCAAAGGAGGCATGGCTGGGGACACGTGACATTTGATGAGGTGACAGCTGTCTAATTTTGGCCTTCTTTCATATCAATTCATATTGAAAGATAATTTTGAGGGCAAAAGACAAGTAGTTTCTTTTAAAACCAAAACTGACTGCTTGGATAAAATGTAAATTATTAAGATAGACCCTACAGGGCAAAAAAGTTACATGATTACAGCGACTTATATTTAAAACTTTCCCTTATACTGAGCACTAGCTTTTTCCTTTCATCCTACCTTTATATATCATAGAAAAGAAATGTTCCTAATGAACTTCAGCAAGTAAATTTCAGGCTCTTTTCTATTGTATTGCAAGAGATATGTTGGCTTAGAAGAGGCAAATACAAATACCTTCCTATGCTGTTTGACTGAAGAAGTCACTTGACTAGGCACTAACATAAAAGAAAAAAAACAACTGGAAAAGAGATGATA